GGAGAGAGAAGAGAGAGAGAAAAAGCATTTCTGATGAAAAAAAAAAAAAATTGAGGGAAACTATTCTCTCTTTTGAAAATGCCGCTCTTAATCGCCCAAGGACAGTCGAAATGCCGAGATTAAAAACAAACGGGTAAACAAGTGATATTTGTAATTTTTTAACATCTGCGTATGTCAAGCTGCTCCTCCCGCTCCCCCTCCCCCTCCCCCTCCTCCTCCCTTTTACCCTCCCCTCCTCCCCTTTACCCCCCTCCCCTTACTCAGCTCATTTCGAAATTATTAAACGAAAAAAAAAGTAAAATGGGAGAATGCGAGAAGGGAACGAGAAGAGGAGGAGGAGGGGGGAAATAGGAAAGAAAAGAAAAAAAATGAATAATTAAAAACTGAAAGATGATGGCTGATCAAAAGACCTTTTCAAAACTCAATCAAACAAAAACGAAAGAAAAAAAAGAAAAAAGAAATCAGCGATTAATTTTTAAATCTATCTCTCCCCTCCTTTTTTTCTGATCACAAACTCGGGAGGAGGGGGTGGGGGGTCATATCGGCGTGTGCGGGGGCGCGCGCGCTTGCAGTTTACGGGTCAATGTTGTCAATTTTGCATCAAAAGAAATTCTAATTACGGTAGAACTTTCAAAGGAAACGGGGTGGCGGTCCCTCCCTCCCCTCCCCCTCCCCTCTCTAAAAACAAAAAACCCAGCTCAAAAGCCGAAATAACAAATATATTTACGTACGTGATCTTAATTAATTGAAAAAATATATCAAAAGAAAAGCTTACAAATAATAACTCTGGAAGCGATGGCATTTTTTTTTCTTTTTTTTTTTTTTTAGTAAAGAAACGCGAGTTATGAAAAATACCCACAAAGGGCGGTTTGTTTAGCCAGAGCAGAATAAAGGAGTGGATTTTTTTTCCCTTCCTTTCTCCCTGACTGAAATATCTAATCAGGGTGAATTAATATCATTCTGCAACCCTACACATTTCCGCCCCCTCCCCCCCACCCCGCCCGCCCCGCGAGCAAATGAAAAGTATTTGATCTTTCAGGAGCCAAACTTTTTTCACCGGATGTTGTCAAGCACGGTAATATAAATCTATACTTTGAGCATTAGTAATGAGAGAGAGAGAGAGAGAGAGAGAGAGAGAGAGAGAGAGAGAGAGAGAGAGAGAGAGAGAGAGAGAGAGAGAGAGAGAGAGAGAGAGAGAGAAGAGAGAGAGAGAGAGAGAGAGAGAGAGAGAGAGAGAGAGAGAGAGAGAGAGAGAGAGAGAGAGGAGAGATGTGTGTGTGTGTGTGTGTGTGTGTGTGTGTGTGTGTTGTGTGTGTGTGTGTGTGTGTGTGTGTGTGTGTGTGTGTGTGTGTGTGTGTGTGTTTATGGCTTACGTGCGTGCATGCGCGCGCGCTATGTGTTTTACCAACTTACTGAAACAGCTCGCCCCATCTTCCACTCCTTCCTCAATCATTCCTATTCCTCTTATCATATATATTTTTCTTCTAACTTGCCCTCCCCCCCCCCACCTACCCCACAAACCCCCGCCCCAACGCCGACGCACGTGACCGCACTGACGGAACAATTAGGGTGAAAAACGACCCGTTACCATATCGGGGAATCGGAGAAATCGACGATTCGGGAGATCGGGTATCGGAGAGGGGGTGGGGGTGGGGGAGGGGAATCCCTCTCCCTCTCCCTCCCTACTACAAGCTTCTCCCATTACGTGTGTTTACCTGTAAAAAGAGGGGGGGGGAGGGGGAGAAAGGGAGAGGAGAGAGATGGGGGGACGGGAGGAAAGGAGAATATTGAGCGAGGAGAAGACAGGGGAGGAGAGGGGACGAGGGGAGGAAGAAGAAGAGAGGGGAGTGAAAGGGAGAAGAGAGGGAAGGGAAGGGGAGGAGGAGAGAGGTGGGAAAGAGAAGAGAGGGGAGGGAAGAGAAGAAGAGAGAGGAGGAAGGGAGAAGAGGAAGAGAGAGGGGGAGGGAGATGAGAGGAGAGAAAAGGGGCGGCGAGGGAGGCGTGAGGAGGAGAAGGAGGTGGTAAAGCAGGTGTCGATAGTGGGGGGTATATGTTATATGGTGTTAGGTGTGTAGGAGCGAGTGGATGAGGTTCCTTACGTGATGGAACGTGATAAGGATAATAAGGAGGAGAAAAGAGAGAGCAAAAGAAGACAGGAGGAATCTGAGGAAGAGAGAAGGAAAGAGAAGAGGAGAGGGAGAGGACATACTAAAAGAGAAGAGAGAGAAGAAGAGAGAGAGAGAGGAGAGAGGCACAAGTAGGAACGAGAAAAATCAACCATAAAACCAAACCCAACAACCAACAACAACAAAACAAAAAATACTAAAAAAATAAATAAATAAATAAAATAATAATAATGATGATAAAAAATCGCAGACGCTCTACTTCCCCGCTAACTACGAAGACAGAAATGACAACAAAATCCGAGAAGGGTTTGCCCCCACCCCCACCCCGTATTCCCACAAGCACCGTGCAAGCGTTAACACCAGTGACTTGCACATCCTCAACCCCGTCCCCCCTATTCTAACTTCTCCCCCCCCCTTCTCTCCCTCTACCCCTTCATAAGCCCTATTCATTATGCCTATTCTATTATACCCTTCCTCCCTTCCTCTGTTTCTTATTATTCTATCCATCTCTCGGGGAGGGAAGGAAGGGGGAGGGGAAGAGGAAGGAGAAGAGGAAGGGGAAGGGGAAGAAGAGAAGGGAAAGGGAGAGGAAGGGAAGAAGAGGGAAAAGGAAGGGGAGGAAAGGAAGAGGAAGAGGAAGAGGAAGAGGAAGGGAAGAGAGGAGAAGGAGAAGAGGAGGGGAGCGTCCAGAGATGGAACGCCCAACCCACCCAATCGGCCAGCTAAAACGCCCCTGGCTGTCACACACGGGCGCCGCAGCCAAGGATTAATGACGACCGCACAATATCCTCGCCTTAAAAAGGGATAGGAGTTGAAATTGATGATGGGAGGCACAACCAGCGCTTCCGATGCTTGTGTTAAATGCCCTGACCCTCCCCTCCCCTCCCCTCTGACCCCCCCTCCTCCACCCCCTGATTATCCCTCTCTCCCCT